GGAAGAGGAGGAGGAAAAGGAGGTGGAGGAAGAGGAAAACATCGTTTATGCATTTGTTCTTCGAGATCGGCACCAGCCGATCCCCCGGCTGCCGGCGGCGTCAACCCCCGAGAAAACCCGCGCCGGCGCCGTCGGAACGCGAGCCCCTGCCGCCCCTGCCCGCGATGGGGGGCTCGCCCGGCCTTGCCCTGTGCCTGTCTTTGGTATCGTTTACAGTTGGGGCCCGACCACAAATAGGGAGCCCACAAAAGACGTACGCGCCCAGCTATGTACATGAACACGGCCCCTCGATCCGCGAGACCGGCCGCGTTATACGAACATTTGCGCAATGCGTACTCTCGAAAGCAGCGTGGATTCATGTACGTGTACGTCCTTTTGTCGCTCCTGAACAAGAGACCTTCTACAAGAAACCCAACCCTGAGACCCCAGGACGTCCGTTGATGTGCAGTGCGGGAGCGTCGCGCTTTCCATAGCAAAGCCATCGGAACCGAGGAAACCCAGGGAATCCCCTGGAGGCAAACAGGGTGTTTCCCGGCATGGGCCTCAACTGCAATCGATCCATGTCCCCATCCCGAGCACCACCATCCCACCACCCCAGTTGGGGATGTGCCCCTCGAAACCCGAAGTGAACAGTCTATAGCCCCATCTAGAGGGGTTGATCGGCCAGTGGGGCCCACGCCACGCCCAGGGGGATAGAGACATGTTAAGCGATGCTCACCTCTGTGCTCGCGCCATGCGGCTTTCACCTCGGGCACGCAAGGCGCAGGGCTGTCCAGGGACAAGCAGGCAGCTCTCCGCCGTCTGCCTTCTTCTCTCCTCTTCCTCCTGAGCTACCGCTTCTCCTCATCCTCGTCGTCCTCCCCTTCCTCCTCCTCCTCCTCCTCCTTCTCCTCCTCGTCGTCGTCGTCGTCGACCTCCTCATCCTTCTTCCCCCAGCTCCACCCCATGTTCCCCCCACCCGACTCCTTACGCTGCTGATTTTCGCCCTGCTCTTCGGGAGAATGGTGGGGGCGGTGTCCGGATCGAGAGCTCTGTGAAGATCTTCCCACCCGATCCACGTCGGAAGCTGCCGCATCCGCCGGTTCACCTCCGTGTCGTCGAAGGTGTTATCGCCTTCATGTTCGTCGACGATGTTGTAAAATCTGCGCGGAGGAGAGGAGGGGCAGGAGCGGAAAGCATCCAGAGGAATGATCGGGCCGGATCGCCACAGGGATCAAACACGGACGCATCGGCCACCACCACCACCACCACTCAGCCATGCATCGGGCAGGACGCGTGGGCGGAAGAGTGCACGAATGGCAACTCCTCGGAAAGTCAGAACAAATGCGAGAATGCGGCACGCCACTGAAACGGTAAACGTGCGGCGGGGCCTCGGAGACTGCACACTTCCACCCGCGCACCATTACGACGGACGCATCGGCGCGAAGCCGAAATCGAACGGAATCGGCCATACAGTCGGACCTAGGCCAAAAGAACACCCTTCAAGAGCATGAGACCCTCCGCTGGCCTAACTGTAAAACGTTCGAGGGTGCTCTCCCTCAGGATGCACAACAACATCCAACGAACACGAAGTGCATCAGGTTACCCCCCGAACAGACCTCGATCTTGTACCTCGGTCCGACTGTACCAGGATGCAGAACAATGCCGTACAAACACTGGGACACAACAGATCGTCGAACCAGATCGTAATAGACACTGGTCACTGGAGGGCAGGCCGGGCTGAAATCCCACCAGCGCAACCCTTCCTTCCTCTTCGGGGAGGGGCTTGTCATTGTTCCCTATTAACGAACACCCACCCCCAGGCGACTGGCAGCCATCCAGGACCAATGCGGCCCCCCCACCATCCCTTTCAAACAGCAATGTGACCTTCATTTTGGGGCAAAATCTTGGGTCATAACTGGGGGGCGCGAACCCTCGTATTGCTTTTGACAGGGACAGCGGAGGCGCCCGCATATTGCCTGCTGCGCGCAGGGCCAGCATCCCTGTCAACAGAATACAAAATGCACTTCGAGATACAATCTGGATTATGCACGGGCCCCCCGCGATCACTGTGCACTGGTTTTTGACTGGAACGGAGGTGGTGCTGGCATATTGTCAGCTATGTGCAGGCCCACCAGGCGCTATGACTGCCACCCCGCCGCGATTGCGAATCGGTTTTCGACAAGGGCGGTGGTGGCCGACACGCTTCCCGATGTGTACTGCCACGTGCGCAGGCGCACTTGCCACACTCTGCGCGTGCCCCGAACGTGGCTCACCTGGAGCGACTGGAGCATGCGGCACACATGGCGCACGTGGATCACGTGGCGGATCTGGCGCACCAGGCGTGCCCAGCACGCTTGGGCCTCAGGTGTGCCTGGCGAACCCGGCGCGCATGGCGCGCCTGACGCGCCTGGCGCACCTCGCCCAGCGTTGCGCACATGGGGGCTATTTGGGCTCCTATTAGCTGTCCATCCAAAGACTACCGCTGAACACGCTGCCGCTCGGGTGCTACTTACGTGTTGGGAGGGCGTGTGGGAGTGAGCGAGACGGCTTGCGGGCGGGGAGGGTGTCTTGACCCCTCCCCTTACCCCATCCCGCTGTACCTGTACGGGCCCTGGATCGTCAGAGCATCCAGAGCGTCCAAGATAGCCTCGGCGAGAAGGCCAAAATCATTCACTGTACCAAGGTGCTGGCAAGATTTTGACCTCCAGGGGGGGAGGAGTGCCCTAATTGAGGAGCCCCTTCCTTTGATCGATCTTCTCCAAGATGGCCCCAAGATGGCCACCGAGGCTCCTGAGGGTGCCCTAAGACGACCCCAAGAGGTGCCCAGGAGGTCCCAAGAGGCCTCCCAAATACCCCCACCCCAAGATGCCCCCAAGAGACCCAAAAGAGGCCCCGCAGAGGCATCCAAGACGCCACGCGAGGAGTCGGCGAGAATGCCAAAATTATTGATGTCACTTTGGTTTTGGTAGCATTTTGGCCCCTGGCGCGCTCCGACAGCGCAGCCCCCAAGATGACCCCACGAGGGCCCCCTAGAGGCATCCAAGGCGCCATGAGAGGCGTCGGCGAGAAAGCCAAAATCATTGACTTGACCTAGGTCTTGGCCACATGTGGGCCCCTGGCGGCGCCTCTGGGTTTCATCCCTGGCGCGCTCCGCGCGCGGAGGAGGGTCCAGCGCAGATTAAAGAGATCCGCGCGGACCTCGTGAATGTTTCCTTATGCGGCGTTTCGACATTGGGCGGAAGGGGGGGAAAGGGGGGGGGTCTGGCTCCGCATCTCTGCTTCATGCGACTGTTTGCAACAGCGCGTCCTGTGGAGGAGGCTCCACCTGCCTGAGACAAGCTCCAAAAGCAGCCAAGATCTACTCCGCGGGGGGGGGAGGGGGTGTGCGAGGGCCCGCGCCGATCGGCAAAGCAATGGATAAGAAAACGATGACCTCCGACGTTTTCTGTTTGTGCAATTTGTTCCGCCTGTGTCGCCCATTCGCACATCGGGCTTGGCAAAGAGAGGGGCGTCCAAGAGGGGGGGGTGCAAATCATGGCCGGCGGCATGTGCGCGGCCCAGGGGGGGGGCGGGGACGTATTAAAACAAGAAGAGGCGCCATGAAATCTGTGGAAATATCATGGCTCCCGTCACGATATCCACCCCCCCTAGTCGTCATCCCCCTCTTTGCCGCCCCCGAGCGCAAGAGCGATCCGTGCACCACCTCCTCGCCGGGCCAGGGCCAGCCTGGGCCCTGGCGCCCTCCTGACCGAGGCCAATAGAGGATGTGTGCACTATCCTGGGGCCCGAAGTAGTCCTGGCCAGTTTGGGGGAGCGAGCAATGACATGAACACAAAAAATCGGAGGTCCGCGCGGATTCCTCGGATCGGCGCTGGAACCCCCTCCCTTGCGCGCGGCGGCGCCGGAGGCGCCGCCAGGGGTCTCCAGCGCCGATCCGAGAAATCCGCGCGGCACCTTCGAGTTGTTGTGTTCATGCCATTGTCCGTTCCCCCCACACTCATCACGGTGGTCGCTTTCGTGCCACCTGCGGAGCGAAACCTCTGGACCCCCACGCGTGCGGGCCTGTCAACGGCGCTGCGCCCCACGAGGAAGGGGCGTGCGGCGCCTCCGCCCGCTGCAGCACTGCAGCGCTGGTATCAGGCGGTCTTTGCAGACACGACCGTCGCTCTCCTGAAAAAGGTGCGGCCGGCAGCCCGGGAAAAAATGCGGCAACCGGCAAGGCTGTGGACTTTGCTGGAAGAGCCGTTGTTCCCCCACGGGGCTGGGCCACGTCCTGCAGTCCCTTCCTGTTCCGCTCCTCCGAGACTGCGCTGGCCGCCAAACGGCGCGTCGCCGTTCGGCGTCCTCGCTGTTCGCCCTGCTGCCAGATGGGCGGCGGAGCCTCCGCGCCCCAACGCCGCGTCGTTTGGGGGGCTCGCGCGGCCTGACCGTGGTCACCAGCTCAGCAGCTTCAAGGACGCGCTCTCGATATGGTGTTGGCGAGGGTGACAATCATGACCGCGCTATGGAAGGACAGCAACTCCAGGCGTATTGGATGGCGATCATGCCAGTGAGGGCACGAAGGGCGGAGGAGGCAGAAGCAAGAGCAGGAGGAGGAAGTGGAGGAGCAGACGGAGAGATCATCAACACCTATCTCACAAATGGTGCACAACGATTTGCAATGCTTGTCCCCTCCTCTTCAAACCGCTCCCGCCACATGTTGCACCCGTTTGCCCTGCACACGCTATGACCCTCGGAGGCTGCGCAGGTGCGCCTTCGAACATCGCAATAATCACTGCTCGCGCACGACAATCGGCAACAACACGTCAACGTCCTAACTTACATCTCGCGCCTACATTGCCCACATAGCGCACATATGAGAGCGCGCGTTGGCTGACACGTTGCGAACGTATCACCCATGCCTTGACCGAGTTGGAACTCTGGGCATTGTGCTCGTTGCAGCGTCGCACGAAACTCAGCACTGGGGTTAAGCACAAGTGAAACCAACTTGACATCACTGTCGAGGCGGATACTGCCACCTAGGGGAATGAAACCAACAGCGGGCACGAGTATAATCGAAACAAGGGGCGCCTCATGAGGAAGCGGCGGAAGGTTAATATGTGGAGAGCCTTGTGGGACTTGTCGGTGTAGCCATGCCTCTGGGTTCTGGGTGATCTTGCATTGCAGATCGAGGGGCAGCACAAGGGGGATGCAGCACAGCGGGGGAAATCCGAACCCGCCTCAGAAGCTGCTTTACATCGCCTCGGAAACTGCTTCACGATCTGCTCACGGCTGGTCAGCCTCCTGCGGGACGCCGAGAAGGATGACGGGCGTGATCTGGTCGAGACGCCACAACGTCTGCGCATGCTCTCGCCCCCTATCTGTGCCACCCGGCCATCCTGAACACCACTCTCTCGAAGCATACTCGGAGGGGGGTGGGGAGGGGCGGGGAAGAGAGGGGCGACGGGGGGGGGGGGCAGGACAACGTGGACAACCCGCCGCACGCCTGGGCCGGCGTCTAGGCACTCAGCTCGCGCCACTCCGAGGGCCCCACTCTGCACGGCGCCATAAGGCTTTGCACTGAGCGGGCAACGCGTCAAGCAGCGCTCGCACCACGGCAGTGGCCAGCCAGTTGCTGATAGGGGAGCAAGACACCACTGCATGAGCATACCCTTTTGCAGGTCCGCGCGGAGCTCCGACGAGTCATGCTTATTCAGTGCGTTTGTGCTTCGAACGGCCAGCCATACGATGACCGTCTGTAGAGGCCTCCCAGATGGGGTCCGAGTAGATGGGGTTGGAGGATTGCACCGCGTCGCCGATGTGTCGCCCTTGCATCGGCGACGCATCGGCGACGTCGGCGATGCATCGGCGACGTCGGCGCGGGGAAAATCGGGCTCCGCATCGAGCTGCATCGGCGATGCATCGGTGATGCGGAGCGATCCTCCGGCCCCATCTACTCTGACCCCATCTCTGTGGCCTGGAGTCTGGTTTCCCCCGAGGGAGGGAGGAGGAGGAGGACCAGGAGGAGGAGGAGGAGCAGGAGGACGGAGGAGGAGGAGGAGGAGGAGGACGGAGGACGAGCAGGAGGAGGAGGAGGAGGAGGAGGAGGAGGGCAAGGAGGAGGAGGAGGAGGACAAGGAGGAGGACGAGGAGGAGATCTCTCTCTCTCTCTCTCTCCCCAGGGCTCTGCTGGACCCCAGGTTGCGCACCTCCCTTGGCGGCGGTGGGAGGCGGCGGACTGGCCATCCCTCCGGGCCTCCCGGCCTCCCGGCCTCCCTCCCTTTCACATCCAGGAGACAGGGGCGAGGGTAAGGGGGAGGGAGGAGGGGGAGGAGGAGGGGGAGGAGGGGGAGGAGGGGGAGGAGGGGGAGGAGGAGGAGGAGGAAGAGGAGAAGGAAGAGGAGGACGAGGACGAGGACGAGGATGAGGATGAGGAGGAGGAGGAGGAGGAGGAAGAGGAGGGGGAGATGGGAGGAGGGAGGGGCCCTGGCATCCCCGCGTCGTTAGAGCATCGCGACGGGGGTGTTTGATCGTTTTCGTGCTCCGAAGGCGCTTAGCCGGCCCTGGGGCCGCCCAACAACGACCAAGGATGAAAAGCCTGTTCTTGGGAAGAAGTCCAGACCGCTGAGGAGCCACGTCGCGCAAAAAATCACGACGCTGGATGCCTGGGGAGGAGGGATGGGGAAAGGAAGGGGGAGGAGGGAGGGAGGGAGGGTGAGAGAGGATGAAGGAAGTGTGGGAGGAGGACCGCGGAGGGATGGGCAGAATGAGGGAGGTCGGAAAGAATGAGTGAGGGGAGGGGGGAGGGATGGAGGCGGAACGAGGGGGCAGGAGAGAAAGGGACCCCAAACCCTCAAACGTCGCGCGTCCCCCTATCCCCGCCATCATCACACTCCTCTCCCCTCCCTTCCCCTCTCCTCCTCTCTTGCCTCCCCGTCCCCTGCCTCATCCCTCATCCCTCCCCGTCAACCTTTCCCTTCATCGCCTCTCCCCTCCCCTCCCAAGACCTCCTCCCCCTTCCCCTCCCTCTCCAGACATCTCCCCCCTTCCTTCCTCGCTCCCCTCTTCCCCTCGTCCACGACAAGGGAGGGACAGAGTCGTGCGCACAATCCAAGCAATGTGGTGTTCTCCCCTGCACATCCAGACTTCCACAACGGTGACCTCCCTTCCTCCTCCTCCTCCTCCTCAAGGTTGCCGACCTGGGTATCAGCCCGACCCTTTGAACACCCATGAAGCCTGTGCTCGTGCAAGACACGACTCGAGGCTGTACAAAATTCTCCCTCCTCCCTTTCAACATCTTCGTCCTCGGCCTCCTATTCCTCGTCAAATATCGTGTCCTGATCCATCATTCGCTATTTCTCGTCTCCAGTCCATCGCCCTCCCCCGCTTCCTCGTCCTACTCAACGTCCTCCTCCTCCTCCTCCTCCTCCTCGTCATCCTCCCCTCCTCTCCCTCCTCCTAGTCCTTCTCAACAAGCTGAGGCCTGGTCCGGAGTACATCAAACCTTCTACCATACGATACAAGTGCCGCGGGCAAACTATTCCAGATATGCTTTGTGGTTCAGCCTCATCGTACCTTCCTTACACGCGGATGTGTACATGTAAACGATCGTGTTGCATGATCCGATCGCTGCCGCCGCAACCGTCACTGACTCCCCTGCCGCTGGTTTTGATTTGTTTCCCTTTCAGAGGCGACACAATGGCATCCGCGCATAGCGAAACGCCCCAACCACGGCCTCTCCGCAAGAAAATAGAGCGTCTTGAAGAACAGTGCGCCAAATACAACCTGGGGCACCATTTCAATATCGTCGAAACGCTTGCAAACATGAGTGTGTAGCGACAAGTCTTCCTGCTACTGCTCATCCGCCTCTGCCACCTCTGCCTCCGCCTCCCACTCCCTGGGCGGTTCGCCAACTGAGCGCCGACTGGATCTACCAACAGCATCGCCGACCCGCCTCGGCCTCCTCCTCCTCCTCTGTCGCGGTCCTGCGCCTCTGCAGTATACCACTCCGTTCCCGGGAGGAGCGCAGGGAGATGCATCCCACGAGGAAGGCGAGGATGTCACGGGGCGAGGAAACAAAATGATGAGCAGGAGGGAAAGGGGAACAAACAGATCGGATGCTCGTTCTCGAGGGCGGCCAGGAGGGGGGGCGTCCGAAAGGGGGGGGGGGGGGGGGGGGGGGCGCAAATCATGGCCGGCGGCAGGTGCGCGGCCCAAGGGGGGGGGGCCAGGGACGTAATGAAATGAAAAGAGGCGCCATGAAATGCGTGGAAATATGGCGGCCCACGCCATGAGATCCACCCCCCCTAGTCATCACCCCCCGCTTGGCCGCCCCCGAGGAGAGGGAACAAAACGATGAGCAGGAGGGGGGGGGACCAGACGGATTGAATGCCCGTTCACGCAAGGCTGCCTCCTCGTGGCCCACTCTCCGCAACCTAGCGCGTGCCTCGTGCACCGGGGCACGCAACGTGCGCTCCTGTGCATCGGACCCTGCAGGCAACTTTTTCCCGCGAGTGGGCACCTCCTGAACCGTGTCGTGCAAACCCCAAATGCAGTGGAGGGCCATGCCAAGGCACACCCCGCTCGCCTCCAGGGTGCCCTGGGTTTCTTGGGTTTCGATGGTTTTGCTATGGAGAGCGTGACGTTCCCGCGCCAACAATCAACGGACGTCCTGGGGACTCAGGGATGGGTTTCTTGTGGGAAGCTTCTTGTGGACTGGCGGAGGAGGAGGAGGAGGAGGAGGAGGAGGAGGAGGAGGAGGAGGGAGGAGGAGGAGGGAGGAGGAGGAGGAGGAGGAGGAGGAGGAGGAGGAGGAGGAGGGAGGAGGCGGAGGGGTGGGGACCCCTTGCCGTAGCCATTCATCCCAAACCCGCCGACCCCTCGGCGTGTGCAGGACGCTGTCGTCGTCTTCGTCGCCGTCGCCAATTCCAAGGACATGCAGGAACGAACAATGGAACGGAAGGTCGAACTTCCGTCGATTGCCTTCCATTTTTCCACTCCCTGACGGGGGTGGCGGGGTGGGGGGCCCTGACTCGGGGAGTGGGGGGGTGGGGTGGGGCTGGGTGGGGAGGTTGGGGGGGACGGGGTGCGGGTGTGGGTGGTGGGGATCCCGGGTCAGATTACTGCCCCCCCCCCCGCGTCCCCCTGTGGACAAGGGGGAACGAGCTCCCCCCCCGGCCCCGGCCCCCCTGTGGACAGGGACGGGCTCCTGGGCGTAACAGGGATGCAAGTAAATCTATCTCAAAAAGCGCCGAACCCACCGCCAAGTCGGATGACGTCAACTCGCGGCGGCCCCCATGAGTGGGCCTCTTGGCGTCAAAAGGCTGCCACACAAAGGAAGCTCCAGAACGCGCAGCTTTCACCGGAAAGTGCTCGCGGATTCCTGGGCGTCACAGGAGCGCCGATGCGGCAGCGCGAGCATGCGCTAGGAACTGCGCAGGAATGCGCTTGAGCGAATGGCGGAGTTCCAACCTCGGAATGCTGGGCACGTCATCGAGCAACAAATCACGGAAGGTGGGGAGGGAGGGGTCGGCGGGCTCCTCGGCTCCCGGGGGACGGAGGCGACAGCCGCACCGCAACCGTTCTCCACGGCTCCAGGGGGACGAGGTCGAGAGCCCACCGGGTGCCGCTCTGCAGACGACTGCACATCGCGAGCGTGCCAGGCCCTGTCCAGCTTTCCAGCAGCTGCCTCGCTCCAGTTCGGCCAGGGCTTGTCGGACCTCATTCTTTGCAGCGGCCTTCGCTCGCAGTTTCCTGCCACTCCAGCAAGGGTTCGGTGGACCCCAGCTTCCCTCGGCGAGGCGGCGTGTGAGCCTCCTTCCCCCCTCCTGCAGTGGGAGGGTGGGGGGCGGGAGGGATATGAGAAAAGTTTTGGAGGGGACGTTCGGCGCCCATTGCACCGAGCTGGCGCGCATGCAGGTACCTGGGCAAAGGAGCGCACGCATGCGCCTCTACCGCACGACTGATCTCTTGTGTGGGCTCCTGAACGCCACAGAACTGCCGTGCGGGCCCGCGCGTGCCCCGCCTCATCTGCACCCGTGAGCGGGCTCCGGGGCGCCACAGGATTGCCCGCTAATCTAAGGTCGAGTATGTCCCCCTACAGGTGGATTTTGGAGGAAAAATCAAAGGATCAAACCATGCGCAAAAATGGTCAAACAAATTGTCGAACAATCATCCCCATACTACTTTTTAGCTTTTTTGAAAACTTCAACCTGCTGTACACCCTGCGAAATGCTTTAGAAATCATGGGTTAAGAAATTCATAGTCTCAGAATTTGAATAAAAGCCCAGAATGTCTATTCGAATCTTGGGATCCACATTGAAACATTAAGAACAATCGAGACTCTCGCCGAAAACTTGGGTTTTCTTAAGCATCGCCTAGAGTGTAGAGAGGCACGCCCGACGTAAGCCTCAGCTGCACCCGGGAGCGGGCTAACGGGCGCCCCAGAGCTGCCCGCTGCTCTCGGCGGTGGGGGGGCGATCACTTCCCACGCGGCGGGGCCACAAGCTCGCAGCCCCACACCACGCCTGCAGCATCTGCTCAGACTCAGGTCGGGCACGTCCCTCTGCAGGAGGAGTGTTCAAATATTGTTCTAACAAAAAATAATATGGGGACGACTTGTTGAGCATGTTTGAAGAATTCGGTATTTGTTGATGAATCTTTTCGTCGAACATCCCCCTGGAGGAGGACATGCCCGACCGAAGCTTCGACTCTGTGGCAATTTTGAGCCTGCCAGGAAAAACAGCGCCCTTTATAAAAGTGCAGAGACCCCTCCAAGAGGAACCCTTCCCCGCCCCCTTCCTTCCCTGGTCCCACTGTGGACCGGGCGCTAAAACAAGGCTAAGATCGGGATAAATCGCTCCAGAGCGTTCCGGAGCGCTCTCAGAACGTTCCGGAACGCTCTGCAGCGGCCGCGGCACCCAATACATCCTCCAAACCCGCCGATTCTCAGAGATTTCGAGTTATCCCGATCCGATTTTGTCCCGATCTTCGCGTCGTTTTAGGGGCACAGGGGGGGGGGGCGTCTGGACAGGGGGAGCTCAAGACCCGTCCCTTCCCCCCCCTCTCCCCCAAGTCCCCCAGAGTGCACAAGATGGACAAGGACGTGTCCCTCCACGCCACCCACCAAGGGGACACGGGGAGCACCCCCTCCGGGGCGGTCCCCAGCGGGGGTCCCGCGGGAGGCCCCGCCTTCAGGGCTGGCGGTACCGGCCATAAGGCCTTGACAATACTTCGTCTTGACTGTCTGGTGGCCTGGTGAGGGCACCCATAGGCTGAGCGGTTCCACAAACATGTGCGTCACGGCCGAGTGTCAGGCGTCGTTGAATGCGCCCGATGGCCCACAAGATGATGCGGGAGAGCAGCGGCAACCCAATACACCTGGCAAGGCCAGAGACTCCAAAGACCGCGTCAACTCGCGCCGCACTTCGCGCCGCGGGGAGCGCCACCCGCGTTACTCTCGCGCCCCACGGGGCAGCATGGATGGAGGACGGAGGATGGTGGTAGGGATGTGGGGAGCGAAAGCTATATCAATGACACGCCGCACGTGGGAAGCGATCCGCGTGCTGCTGTCGAAGAGGCAGAGTACCTTCGGACAACCGCGAATGAGTAACACGCCGACGGGCTGCGAACGGCTGCGTTTCGTTGACGCTCTGTCTCCGTCCCGAGGGATGGAGGAGGGAGAAGCGCGAAACACGGATACAGTCAGAACCCAACGCAAGAGTTCAGGATGAGGGCGCATGGGATCGTACACGTCCAATCTGAAGCGAGGACGCAGAATAAGCGTATCCCGCAAGACCACTGTCCCACTAGGCTTGGTTCGAAGCTCATGCTCACGCCATCGACGCCTACTTGGGCCCTGGAAGAGCGAGACACCCACTCTTCTGGAGGCAAGAACCCCCCAAATCACCCCAAGCCTGGCACCCGTCGGACAAAAAAAACATACGAACTCCTGGAAGTCTCTGGAAACGCTCTCGCCGCTGACCTGGGAGACAGAGCGGGAAACCCCGTGCAACCGGGCAACGTCCGATCCCCAAACGGAAGGATGAGGCGGATAGGACAGGACCTGTCGCAAAGCGAAGTGACATTATCCTAACCCCTGGCCCGAGCAGGTAGCCTGGCCTCATTTAGGCTACTCGTTCTGAAGACTACGGGACTCGCGGACGCCGTAGATGAGAACATCCAACCTGCACCCCTGGGCGAACCGAGAGGCATGCACGTTGTCCACTCCCCCAATGATGGCTTGCACTCGGCCCCAATAACACAATGCCGCCACGCGATTCGAGGTGATACAACACCACACAGCTGAACCATCATGCAAATAAGTGAACCAACACAAGACGGCAAGGGACACACGCGACACCATGCACGGACCATTGGAACACAAAAAACCCTTGGCCATACCACGCTGGATTGCACGCGGGCCCACTGCGGCACCGTAGGCGGTTCCATGCAAAACAAGCCTGCCCACTGTCCGTTCTTCCCGCACGTGCGGGTGAAAACATTGTAGTTGATGGCGGTCGGCGCGCGCTTCGCCTTCGCATCACGCCCAACAGCGGCACCACCTGCCGCCTCTGCCTGCCCTTCCCGCACACGCTGGACCGATTGTTGTAGCTATTGGCGGTCGGCACACACTTCGTTTTCCACAAACCGCACAGCAGCTGTGGGCCGCGCGGCGGTCGGCACAAACTTCGCGCCTCCCACGCCATGCCCAACAACGGCAAAACACGTTGCCACCGCCTGCCATTCTCGTGCGTGCTGAACGTGGCAGCTCCAGCGAAACAAACGACGTGAAAACCATCAGTAAGAGCCCATCGCACAACCACCATTCACAATGTTCCCCATTGCCCTCGACTCAACTCGACTTAGCCAACCCGATCGACAGCGCACGAAGGCCCGGGAGATGAGTTGCAACTCACGCGCCACGCTGCGGCATCAATGTGCAAATCGGGCCCAGCGATAAGTCACAAGGGGCCTACGGATGGAATGGAACCGATTGTGCTTAAAAGGAGGAGGAGGAGGAGGAGGAGGAGGAGGAGGAGGAGGAGGAGGGAGGAGGAGAGGAGGGAGGATGAGAGGAGGCATGCGGAGGGGAGAGGGAGGGGGGAGGAGGAGGGAGGAACAGGGAAGAAAGAAGAGAGAAGGAGACTGGGGGGGAGGGCGGGAGGCAAACGGAAGAGGAGGAAGAGGAGGAGGAGGAAGAGGAAGAGGAGGAGGAGGACCGATGGCGACCCCTGTGCCTGCATTGGAGCAGGCAGAACAGCGAGGCTCTCGGAAGCAGCAGGCTGGCTGGCCGCGGCGGGCGGGTGCGCAGCCGCCTCCCGCTCGGGCAGGAGCGGCGACCGCAGGAACTTCTGGAAGTCCCGCCTGGCCCTGTGGCGGAGGCGTGGGGGAAGAACCAGATAGGGAAAGTAGCAACGGTTGGGCGCCCGAGTTATCCGGGGTACCTCGGGTCCGGGTTAACTCGGGCTTGGATTCCCGAAAAAGGAGCCCGAGTTATCCCTGACCCGAGTTACCCCTGATGATTCGGGGCTCTGGACGCCCGAACTATCTGGGGTAACTCGGGTCCGGGGTGGCTCGGGCTTGGATTCCCGAAAAACGAACCCGAATTAGCCCTGACCCGAATTACCCCTGATGATTCGGGGCTCTGAAACGGCATAACCGAACCCTTGCGACAGTCCGCGCGGAACTCCAGCAATTCGTGTTTATGCCTCCGTCACTTCTTCGAGCTAAGAGCGATCAGGAAGGAAACGGAGGAGGAGGAGGCATCGAGGAGGAGGAGGAGAAGGCTCATGAGGATTTATCATTGGCAAACGGTTCTTTTCGAGCCCTTGACGACCACTTCTGGATACCTTTACATGGCGTTTGGAAATTAACGCGTTGTGTTGGTTTACAACGGCACACAAGGGCAGATGACAAAACGGCGCTACGACGCGGCAAAACACAACGCAACTGTTGTTGCTAACAAGAACGTGTGCCCCGACGCACCACAAAAAAAACGAGGTCGCGCTAGCGGCTGTGATGGAGGTCGCGCTGGAGGTCGCGCTAGCGGCTGTGATAGCCATTGTGCTGGTGGTGTCGCTTGAGGTCGTGCAGATTATCGTGCTGGTGGTTCTGCTGCTGGTTGTGAAAGAGGCCGTGCAGGTGGTTGTAACGGCGGTCGAGCTGGTAGTCGTTCTAGTTGTCGTATTTGTGGTCATGCTTGTGGTCGTGCTGGCGATCGTTCTGATGGCCGACGTAGTGGTTGTGGCAATTGTGGTGGCCTGTGCCGGAGTTTGTCATGGCGGCTGTGCTGGTGGCTGTGCTGGCGGCTCTGCATGCGATGCTTGTGCTGGTGGTCATGCTGATAGTGGTACTGATAGTGGTGATGGTGGTCATTCTGATGGTCGTGCTGACGTTGGTGCTGGTGATTATGCTGACGGCTGTGATGGTGGTGGTCGTGCCTGTGGATACAAGAGCAACTACAAGCACCACCACCGTCAGAAACCCAAACACGACCTCCAACACAAATATCAAGACGACTACGAGAGAGACCACCGGCGGGACAACCGGCGCTACCACAAGTACGGCCACCAGCAGGACGACCACCACAACCACCACGTCGACCATCAGCACGATCGCCAGCACGACCACACGCATGACCACAAATACGACAACTAGAACGACTGCCATCACGACCGCCGTTACAACAACCTGCACGACCTCTTTCGCAACCAGCAACAGAATCACCAGCACGATAATCTGCACGACCTCAAGCAACACCACCAGCACAACCATCAGCATGCTCACCAGCACCCTCACCAGTACGACCCCTGGCACTTCCACCAGTACGACCGCCAGCACGACCAGAAGCACAACCGCCTGCACGATGATCTGCGCGATCACCGCCGCAAAAGCTAGCACAAGCAGAAGCACGTTCATCAACACGTTCAACAAGATGGCCACCAGCACAACCACCAACACGATTATCTGCACAACAAGAACCACGACCACCAGCACAACTACGAGCGCGCCTACCAGAACAATCACACGCACAGCCGCCAGCACAACCACCATCACAACCACCAGCACAACCACGAGCATAACCATTAGCATCACCACCACCACCACGACCAGCACGACGAATTGCACACCCAGCAGCACAACTACCAGCTGATCCAACTTTGAATATATGATCAATGCTCTGCCAGCAGTTGCAAATTCGACATTCCATGTGCATTTCGAGATCCATCTGGATAATGCTCAAGTGTACTACCACAGCCACCAGCGCCACCACTAGCGCCACCTCCAGCACAGCCCAGCAACACCAACTACAAAATCGCACGCACAGTCGATCACCAACGCAATGGCCATTACATCCACCACCACCAGCACCGGCGCATGTAACCATACAATAACACGCACACACGTAACACCTAAAAGCGGGCATCGCCATCGAATGGCTGGTTGGTGGCGGAATATGCCCGCGCTGGACACGTCGGAGTCGCTGTCGGCAAAATGAATGTAGGGGACTCTCTCTCAGAGCTTTCACCAGCTACGAGGCACAACCCAGAAATCCGGCACACTTCGTTCAGATCGCAGCTCGGCTGCGACTGCAGAGCTCGTGCCCCAGGCCCTTCAACATATCATGCGTGACCTGCGCCAGCGAACTTACATCAGCGGGCCTCTTCGACACGTCTCCTCCTGCATTCCTCCACCCCGTTCCCCCTCCGAACGAGGCCCCTGCGCCGCCAGCCGCCATAAACGTTCGGAGCTCCCGGGTCTCTGCCGCCGCGGCACGTGGTGCCCACCCCCAGCCGCGCGTGGGGGAGGGGGGCGCTTGGCTCTCGGAGGGGGGGGGGGGCACGAGGAACTGGCGGAGGCTGAGAAGGAGGAAGAGCTGGAGAGGCTCGAGGAGCCGGGGGAGGAGGAGGAAGAGGAGCAGGAGGAGGACCAGTGTAACCCCAAGACTCATCAACGAAAATTGCAATCAAACCTCCCTCCAAGTTCCCGCATCACAGGCCCATGCCGAGCTCCATTTTCACTGAAGGAAATGCCCTGTTGGAGGGCAACCGTTTGAGCATCCTGAACTGTGCTAGAACGACGTTCCTGGGACTTCCAAGCAGCGAATTACCCTCACTGCTACATAATGACGATCCTGAACCGCACCAGAACAACATTCCTGGGACTTCAACACCGTGAATCAACGTAACTGTCACGCCCTGACAATCCGACATCGTGCCAAAACACCATGTCTGGGACGTTCACCATGAATATTTGAAACTGTTGTAAACTCTGAATGCGAATGTGCGCGGCGCTAGGCGAGAACCACCTTTTCAAAACAACCCGCCCTCCATCCGTGAAAATCTTGCGGATGATGGAAGCGAGTGTGCGCGGGGCTGAGGCGAACACCACATGTTGAAAACGGCCCGCTCTCCATCCGTGACACCCTTGTTCTCCAAGAATGTGCGCGGCGCCGAAGCGAAAAACACACTTTCCGCATGATCCTCCTCCTCCTCCTTTCCAAACGAGGCATCTTCCCTCATTCCTCCTCTTCGAGCACCCCCCGCCCCTCCCCCCCCCCTCCTCCTCTTCCTCCCTCCCTCCCACCTGCCACTTGTCCTCCCTCCTCCGCCTCCTCCCTCCCTCCTTCGCCCTCCTCCTCTCCTCTCCCTCCCCCTCCGCCTCTTCCTCGGGAGCGGCCAAGAGGGGGGTGTCCAAGAGGGGGGGGTGCAAATCATGACCGGCGGCATGTGCGCGGCCCAGCGGGGGGGGGCCAGGGACGTAATGAAACAAGAGGAGGCGCCATGAAATCTGGGGAAATATCATGGCCCCCGCCATGATATCCACCCCCCCCTAGTCATCACCCCCCTCTTTTCCGCCCCCGACTTCCTCCCCCCGCCCCCCCTCCAGATCGCCGCGCCCGGGGCCACCTCTGTCGACCGCCGGCCGCCAGAGGGGGCGCCGGCTGCCGCCGAGGGGAGACCGGCTCTACACGCAAGAGCGACCCTTCAGTCAACGCGCATGGTAAGCCCCCTCCCCCTCCTCCTCCTCCCCCTCCTCCTCCTCCTCCTCCTCCTCCTCCTAGGATCCACGGTAAGGATGCGCGATCATCAGGATGTGCGATGAGGATGCGCGTGCGATAAGGATGCATAAGACGGATGCAACGATAAGAGGCCGTGGGAGGCCACGTTGATACCTTTCGAGCGGGGCACGGACAGCAGAGGTGGCCAAGGATAGGCCAGAGGGGGAGGATGCAGGGATAACCTTGGACAGTCGCGCTTCCTTCCGATGCGCCTGGCTCCAGCCAAGAGTGGCCTTTGGTGCGCGGCTTTGGGAGGACGCTGGGGGGGGGGGGGGGGGGGCAAAGCCCAGGCCCGCCAGCCGCTGCTTTCGCGCTGCACTCGGCGACGAACGTGGAGGCCCGGTGCGCACGCACCAATGATCACTCAATCCACGGTCCACTCTCACGTTTAGCCCAGCCTGGACCCCATCCCGGGGTCCACCTGGTGGAATTGCGCCACCTCGGACCAATGTTCACCTTAGGCGATGCTTAAGAAAACTTAAGTTTTCGGCCAAAGTCTCGATTATTCTTAACGTTTCAATGTAATTCTTGAGATTATAATAGAAATGTTGGGTTTTTGTTCAAGTTCTGAGACTACGAATTTCTGGACCCATGATTTCTTAGGCATTTCGCAGGGTGTTTGACAGCCCCGCGGTCCGAGAACGGCCTCCAAAGGCCGAAAGAGGCAACAACAACCGCCTCGAACCCAGCCTCTCGAGCCTCGCCTCCCCCCCTCCTGCTCGCCGGAACCAATGCTGGGGGAAACCAGGAGGCACCAATACCACTGCTCCCCATATCTCGAACCTCGTCTCCCCCTTCCTGCTCGCCGGAACCAGTGCTGGGGGAAGCCAGGAGGTACGAATATACCACTGCTCCCCATATCTCGAACCTCGTCTCCCCCTTCCTGCTCGCCGGAACCAGTGCTGGGGGAAGCCAGGAGGTACGAATATACCACTGCTCCCCATATCTCGAACCTCGTCTCCCCCTTCCTGCTCGCCGGAACCAGTGCTGGGGGAAGCCAGGAGGTACGAATATACCACTGCTCCCCATATCTCGAACCTCGTCTCCCCCTTCCTGCTCGCCGGAACCAGTGCTGGGGGAAGCCAGGAGGCACGAATACCGCTGCTCCCCATATCTCGAACCTCGTCTCCCCCCTCCTGCTCGCCGGAACCAATGCTGGGGGAAGCCATGAGGTACGAATATACCGCTGCTCCCCAGACCTCTCCCGGGACGCCTTCTGGCCAGGACTTCGAGGAGAGCCCGGCCGTGGCGACGAGGGATCTCCAGGGCGAGCAGCTGCATCGGCACCTTTCCTCCTCGGAATGGTGGGCCACCTCAGATTGGCAGCGCGCACAACGGGGGGTGGAGGGGGGGGGGGGAAGGGCTTCTGAGGAGGCTGCTTCTTAGAAGGCGCCGGCCTCACATCTCCAGGTGAGGCTCGCGCCCTCTGCCAGAAGCCGGGGTGCTTCTGCGCAGCCCGGTCCCCCCTCCCCCCCAACCCCCTCTGCGCGTGGCTGATCAGACCCGAGCCGGCTCCAACCGCCCCTGGCCATCGAGGGCGGCCAAGAGGGGGTTCGCATGGTGGGAGGGGGAGGGGGTCCTCCTCCTCCTCCTCCTCCTCCTCCTCCTCCTCCTCCTCCTCCTCGTCCTCCTCGTCCTCCTCCTCCTCGTCCTCCTCCTCCTAACCCCCTCCAACTTCTGGTGGTGGTGGTGGTGGTGGAAAAAAAAGCCTATCAGCGCAAGCTGCCGACGAAGGAAGAGGAGCGGTCCTCCACCTCCGCAGGTCTTCCAGCCTTCGCCGCTTCCTCTCGTCCTGGGGCGGCCCCCCGCGCCGCCGCCGCCCCGCGGGCCGGCCGGCGCCAGCCAGGCCCTCCTCACTCCTCCTCCTCCTCACTCCTCCTCACTCCTCACTCCTCCTCACTCCTCCTCCTCCTCCTCCTCGTCCTCCTCCTCCTCATTGTCCTCCTTTTCCGTGCTCTTACTGTTGTCGCTGTTCCTCCTCCTCCATACTCACTGTTCTCCTCCTGACTCTTCTCCTTCGTCCTTTCCCTGCTCCTCCTCCTCCTCCCTGTTTTTCTGCGCTCCTCGTCGTCCTCCTCGTACTCGTCCCCTTCCTCCTCCATCCTAATCATCCCTCCTCCTCCTCCTCCTCCTCCTGACTCCCCTCCGCTCCTCCTCCTCCTTTTGCATATCTTTCTTATCCCTCATGTTCTGCCTGCCTCCTCCTCTGTTATTTCTTAATATCTCCCAGTTATTCTCCTTTTTTTCCAAGATCCAACGGATGGGGTTCTTGTGATTCCCCATATCCAAAGGATGGGGTTATTTGAATTACTGTGACCGCGCGGACCTCCTACCTCCTCACCTCCTTCCAGAATATGATGATGCACTCATAGTATGATGACGCCGAATGATGACGATACGAGTTTGATGCCGGCGATGGTGATGCATGTTATGAATGATTCTGCTGGAAATATGTTAATGACTATGATGAGTGGTGATGACGACGATGTTGATGCTGATGATGATGGTAAAGGATGATGATGACGCTGATGATGATGGTGATCATGGTTGGTATGGTGATGGTGATGATTATGCTGATGTTGCAGGTGTTAATGATGATGTTGATGATCATTCTGACCATTTTGATGATGTGATGATGATGGTGTTGATGTAGATGAGAAGTGCTGGTGATGATGATTATGAAACTGGTGGTGGTGATGATGCTGAAGATGCTTCAGATGATGAAGATGATGATGATAATGATGATGTTGATGGTGACGATGATGATGATGGTCATGATGATTATGATGATGCTCATGATGATTATGATGATGATTATGATGATGATGATCATGATGATGATGATGATGATGATGATGATGAGGATGAGGATGAGGATGAGGATGAGGATGATGATGATGATGATGATGATGATGATGATGATGATGATGATGATGGTGATGACGGTGCTGATGACCAGAAGGGGGCCGTTTTGCAAGGATGTCTCGAGCGTTTTGAGCAAATCCTCAAGACGTCTTACGCGGTTTGCTGATTTTCGCACTCCTACGGGGGGGGCGCCAATGGTATTGCACAGCCTCCGTTTGCGCCCAAATTGTTGGGATGTCTCAGGCGGTTTGCCTGTTTCGGTGCGGCAGCATCCTTCGCTTTCGGAGCAGATGCTGAGGATGTCTCGAGCGGTCTGCTGGTTTTCGCACTCTTACGGGGGGGGCACCAATGGTATTGCACAGCCTCCGTTTGCGCCCAAATTGCGGGGATGTCTCAAGCGGTTTGCCTGTTTCGATGCCGCAACATCCTTCGCTTTTGGAGCAGAGTTGGAGGATGTCTCAAGCGAGGCGCTCATGTTCACTCCCAGGGGGGGGGGGCAAGTTCGGAGGATGTCGCGAGCGGTTTGCCCGTGTTGATGGCCAGACTCGTGGGCACGGACGGATCCTCTTCAGGATGCCAAGGCTCCAGCAGGCTCCAGGAGGCCACATGAGACGCCAGGAGGTTTCAGGAGGTTTCAGGATGCTACAGGAGGCCCCAGGAGGCTCCAGGAGGCTCCAGGATGCCACAGGAGGCCACAGGAGGCCACAGGAGGCAACATGAGGCAACAGGAAGCGCCAAGAGGCTCCAGGAGGCCACGGGAAGCCCCAGGAGGTTTCAGGAGGCCCCAGGAGTCCCCATGCTTATACGAAGAGACGCGCTCGTACTACTAAGACTCATTCACGCTCCAACTCATTCATACTTAGATTCACTCCGAGACCGTCGATACCCAAGCCCCTTGATATTCGAACACCCTCGCGTCTAGACGCTCACGGCGGACAGGTCCATGCTAATCGATGAACATATGGGGAGCTCCACGCAGTGCATAATTACTCTGAATGCGCCGACTCCTTCAGGTTACCTCCTCCCTTCCTCCTTGATTTCCCCGTCCCACTCAGACTATGATGATGATGATGATGATGATGATGATGATGATGATGATGATGATAATGATGATGCTGACGATGATGATGATGGTGGTGGTGGTGATGGTTATGATGCCGATGGATGTTGGTGATGATGATGGTGATGGTGATGGTGATGATGCTGCTGATGATGATGATACTGAGAATGATGATGATGATGGTGATGTTGATGTTGATGATGGTGATACTGATACTGATACTGATACTGATACTGATGATGATGATGATGATGATGATGATGATGATGATGATGCTGATGATGATGATGATGATGCTGATGATGATATTGATGATACTGATGATGGCGGAGCAAATTCTGAGGATGTCTCGAGCGAAACGAGGGTCTCAGCATTTTCAAAGGGGACCCGCCAAGGGGTATTGCACGGCTTCCGTTCGCACCAAAATGGCGGGAATGGCTCGAACCATTTCCCTGTTTGGGTGCTCAGCATCCTCCGCTTTCGGAGCAGGTTTGGAAGATCTCGAGCGAGGCGCGGATTTCAGTACCCCCAAGGGGGCGCCGCCAGGGGGTATTGCACTCATCCGTTCGCGCCAAAATGACAGGGATGTCTCGAGCGGGATGCCCGTTTCGGTGCTCAACATCCTCCACTTTTGGAGCAGACTTGGAGGATGTCTCGAGCGAGGCACTCATTTTCGCCCCCAAGATGGCCCGAGATGGCCTCCAAGACGGCCAAGAGAACCTCCAAGTTCGCCCAAGATGGTCCAAGATGGACTCCAAGACGGCCCGAGAGGATCCAAGATGCCCGAGAGGCCCCCAAGAGGCCTCCAAGACGGCAAAAGAGGCCTCCAAGAGGTCCCCCAGAGGCCCAGGGAGACCAAAATCAGAGTTCCCTCTTAGGTTTTAGAAGGACTTTGGCATTTGCTTTTCGGCCTTCCGACGGCCCAAGGCGGCCCAAGAGACCCCCAAGATCGTCCACAGAGCGCCCAAAAGGCCTCCAAGAGGGCCCTGGGACGGCCCAAGAAGACCCCAAGACGGCCAAGAGGGGGCCCAAGAAGGCCCAAGAAACCTCCATGACGGCCAAGATGGCCTCCAAGACGGCCCGAGAGGATCCAAGATGGCTCCTAGTCTGCCCAAGAAGCCGCCAAGACGACCCAAGACGGCCAAAAGGCCCCTCCAAGACGGCAAAAGAGGCGTCCAAGAGGTCCTCCCGAAGGTCCGGGGAGGCCAAAATCCTGTATGTCCCTTAGGTTTTTGACAGATCTTGGCATTTGCTTTTTGTTCGGCCTTCCGACGGCCCACGACGGCCCAAGAGGCCCCCAAGGTCGTCCCCAGAGCGCCGAAGAGGCCTCCAATAGGGCCACGGGACCACGGGACGCCCCCAGCCAGAGGGGGGCCCAAGAAGGCCCAAGATGGCCTCCACGACGGCCAAGGTGGCCTCCAAGACGGCACTGCAGCACCCCAGGAGGGCCCCAAGACGGTCCAGAGGGGCCCCCAAGACGGCGTCGGACGGCCCAGGAACGCCCTGAAACTGCCAAAGAGGCCCCGAACAAGCCCCCAGAGGCCCCCAAGAGGCCGAAGGAGACCCCCAAGAGGACTCCAAGGGGCCCCCAGAAAGCTCCCAGGTGACCCCAAGAGAGCACCAAGGCTCCGAAGAGGTCTCCTCCTCCTCCTCCTCCTCCTCCTCCTCCTCTTGTTTTTCCTTCTCCTCTCCTTCCTCCTTCCTCCTTCCTCCTTCTCCTCCTCCTCCTCTTCCACTTTCTCCTCTTCCCTTCTCCTTCCTCCTCTTCCTCACGTGTTCCCCAAAGGGCTTCGACGACGGCTGGGGGAACAGATGGTCCCACAGCTGGGCCAAGCTCTGGCCCAACTTTGGTCGGCTGCACGTAAGAGTGACCCTGGGCAAGAGTGACCTTCGGTGCGCGGCTTCTTGAGGGGCGCGAGGAGACCAAACACAAGCGCGCAAGACGCTACTGTCGCAACGAGCGCGGCGATCGCGCTGGGCCGAAGCCCGGCGCGCGTGCTTCCGGCGCCACGGCCTGCCAGTCCGCAGCCGTGGCGCGCGGGCACCTCGGGTCGGGCGAAAGGGGGGGATAGCAAAGGGGGGGTTTGAGAATCAGCTCACGTAGCTGATTTTCCCGGCGCCTCCCGGCGCCGGGAGGCGCCCATGTATCGAGGAATGGGCCCGGCGGCGGGGCCGACACCAGCTGCATGCAGCAGATTTCGTAACCCCCCCTTTCGCCCGTCCCGACTCTCCGAGCTCCCCTGCCTTTCGCACCCCCACCGTACGGCGCAGCGCCCGCGGTCCGGCGGAGCGCCTCCGGGCGGAGCGAGCCGCTGGGCACACGGACACGCACGCACAGAGGCAGGGCAGGCTGGTCGTCCGGGCAGGCGGCGCACGCTCCTGCGCCCCAGGGTCAGTCAGCATGGGACCGGGGCAGCGAAACGGCTCGGAAACTGCATCGGACCAGGCCGCAGCGGCACTGACTCGGAGCACGAACCGAGTGGATCTCTTCGGTCGAGGAGGAGGAGGAGGAGGAGGAGGAGGAGGAGGAGGAGGAGGAGGAGGAGGAGGATAGGACGAGGACGAGGAGGAGGAGGAAACGCAACAGAGGTGCGCGCCGTGTGGATTATCTTCGGCCGGCGCCCGACGCCTCTCCCCTAGCGCGCGGAGCGCGCCGGGGGGTCCGGCACCGACGGGGAGAAGAGGGCAAGGAGGAGGAGGGGGAGGAGGAGGAGGAGGAAGGGGGGTAGGGAGAGGAGGAGAAGGAGGAGGAGGGGGAGGAGGAGGAGGAAGAGGAGGAGGAGGAAAACGACGGCAACGTATGCATATAGATGACCATTTGCGCAGGCCTCCGAAAGCTTATTCCACAAGCAGTGCTTGCACTTAGGGCGTCTTGCCTCGCTTCGGTCAGGTGACTGGTCGCTACTACGGGTCGTCGCCACGTGGCGGCTGGTGCCGCCTCGTGGGCGACTCGTGGGCGCCACGCGCTTGGGGTGTGTGCCGAGGTTGCGCCACTTTGCCACCCATGCCGCCTCGTGGGCGTGCCGTTCGCTGGGGGGGTACGCAGAGGTTGCGCCACTTTGCCGCCAGTGCCGCCTCTTGGGCGCTCCGTGCTCTGAGTGTGTGCGACCTAGACTTCACCGCATATCTCATCCCCGATATATGACACAACCTTATCAACATTATACATGTTGATTACATCGCATAGCTTACGCTTACACCCCATAGCTTTCACCTCCAGGTCACATCACCTAGCTCACACGCCATGACTTACACCACGCAGCTTGCACCACGTAGTGTTCCCCTCATCAGCCTACGCAACACAGCTTTCCCCACAGTTCTTGCACCGCCTAGCTTTCACCTCTACAGTGCAAAAGCTCACGATTTGCGGTCCATACTGGCTAACATGCTTGTTATGTACAAATTCCTTATAATATGATCCTCATCCTCATCCTCATCCGTCTCCTCCTCCTCCTCCTCCTCCTCCTCCTCATCCTCCTCCTCCTCCTCCCCCCGGCGGGCGTGGGCGCGATCGGCCAGAGGAGGATGAGGACAGCAACTTGCTGTCTCAGCGGCACTAGCGATCGGGATCAAATCTCAAACACTGAGGGGAGGAGGGGGGCCTGATGGAAGATCATGCAGCAATCGAGGGGGAAGACGGATCGCTTACCCCGCTCACTTGAGGCCCTGAAACGGCATGCTTAGTATGATAGAGGGTCGGGCAACCAACTTCATAATCAGCAACCGATTTGCATAGCCCTGTAACACCCTCGCCGAAAGACGCAGCCGAACAGGACAGTGCCGTTGAGGAAACGCACAGGGCTGCTTGCCCAACGCTAAATATGCGGGTCAACGTGGCACTCCCTAAAACAAAAACCCAACGATGCGGTCTCGTCAATCCGCGCTCCCGAGAGAACTCGACCCCTCACCTGGGGACGAACTTTCGTCGCGGATCGTCGTTGCAGGTCTCAACCCCTTCACCTGGGGGCGACTTGTCGCCGTGGATCCATTTTCTTGGCACGGGGGCCCGCCAGCGGTCTCCAGGGATTGAGCATGGACCGACCGTCCCGGTATTCCTGTAGGCCTACCACGAAATGCTCTAGAACCCCAAAATGTTCTAAGAACAAAAACCATACTCTTAGAACATATCCCCGATGTGTTAAAGACAAAAGAGTCTCAGCCAGAAATGCTCCAAGAGCATTTCGCGGAATCCACACCCAATTCTTAGAACATGGTTGGTAGGCCTATAGGCACGCCGGGACGCTTCGCCACTGCTTGACGGGAGGCGGAGTGGGTGGAAAACGCCACGGAGGGGAAACGACCGCGGAACAATCAATATGCCAGATGTAGGAGTCCCAAAACAGTGCGGCGACGCACCGTGCGGTGACCTCCAAAATCCCGCGAGCCCTCACCGCACGGTCCGCCACCGCACGGTCTTGGGCCCTCGGAGGCCCCTGTCGTCCGAGACGTCCTCGGAGAACGACCCGAATCTTATATTGCTCCCATCGCACTTAAGGACCATATCCCATAAATAATTTCGAGCACCCGGAAAAGTGTCGAAACAGTGTCGAACGAGTGTCTCCCAGGGCCCGACACGCGAAAGCCCTAGAGTTCCGGTACTTTTTGGGGTCTCGAAATTCTTTCTGGTGATCAAGGCTCAAGCAAGTTGGAACATCCCAACCCGAGTCCCCAAACCGTGCGGCGACCGAATTATCCGGGGTAACTCGGGTCCGGGGTAACTCGGGTTTAGATTCCCGAAAAAGGAACCCGAGTTATCCCTGACCCGAATTACCCCTGATGATTCGGGGCTCTGGACGCCCGAGTTATCCAGGGTAACTCGGGTCCGGGGTAACTCGGGATTGGATTCCCGAAAAACGAACCCGAGTTATCCCTGACCCGAGTTACCCCTGGTGATTCGGGGCTCTGAAACCGTGCGGCGACCCGGAAATTAGCAAAGGGGGTGTTTGAGAATCAGCTCACGTAGCTGATTTTCCTGGCGCCTCCCGGCGCCGGAGGCGGCTATGTATCGAGGAATGGGCCCCTCGGTGAGGCCGAAACCAGCTGCATGCAGCAGATTTCGTAACCCCCCCTTTCCCAATCCCCCCCTTTCGCCCGGCCCGAGACCTGGGGACTCCGCCCGGGCACCCCGAGGAGTCTGCAGGGGGGCCCCGTGACACACAAAGAAACGCACACGAACAAGAAGATCCCCCACAGTTTCCCATAGTTTCTGGGTTCTTGTCTTGCCCCCCACTTTTCCCATACTGTCCCATATGTTCTTGGGAATCGACGATTAATTGTGTCTGTGTGTTTTTCCCATCCTGAAAGAAGTCATGCTTACAGCCGGACCTGGGCCAGACGAGCATCCCTCAAGAGCATGCAACCCCCTGTCGAACAAGACGAACGTCCAAGGGTACCCGTCCAAGGGTACCCTCCCGATGATGCTCTCGTTCTCTGGGAGGAGCGGAGATGGGGAGCGCGCGACCACTGAATCTCACTACGGCGTGAGTGGCACAGTAGCATGAAGCAGAAGATAGCCAGGCAAACTCGGATCGCTATACGAACCGACCTGCCATAGGCAAAACTCATGCGATAAACTGTAGCCTGGGGGGGGAGGCCAAAAGACGATGCGAAATTCCTGTTTCTGAAGCGTCCCCGCATTCCCCCCTCTCCGCTTTTGGCTGCGAGGTGCGGGGGTTGGTGTCGGGACCATGCGCTGCATAAACTAATTACTCGGGTGGCGGCGGGAGCAATCGCTGAAACGCCCGACGTCGCACTTCTTTACTAACCTGGTTCGCCGAGGAGGGCTGGGCCCGTTCCACTGGGGACTCATCCCGGGCCGTTTTCTGACGTCCCCCCGGCCCGAAGAGGACCCCCACGTGCAGGAAGTGGGCCACGACCTGTCGCCGCTGATGTTTCCACCCCGCGAGCATCTCGGGGTGGAAGGAGCGCTTCCCGGCCGGCCACTCCTGCACCTCGACGGCGACCTCGGCGGCGATCAGCGCGGACTGCATCGCCGCCCGCGCCCACGGGGGGCCCCGGGGCCCCCCGGGAGCCCCGCCGCGCCCCCGCGCCCGAGCGCTGGCCGGGAGGAGGATCGGAGGACTCAAAGGGACGAGGTCCATGACATCCTCGCGTCAAGAAAAAAACATAAGGTGTTGTATTCCGAACCATCCTAAGGTGTCGGGTCCTCGTTTTGAAGAGACGGCGCCCCGCGTTCCTTCTCTCCCTCCTCCTCCCCCTCCTTGCCTCTGTCCTCCGCTTGCATCTGACATCCTCGCGTCGCGAAACAAAAGCATCAGGCTGTTTGTTCCTGCTGTGTGCCTTTTCGGCCTCCACAGCTCTCGCCGGGCCCCGGGGACGGTCAATTTGGACGCCCGACATGGGTACCGAAAAAATGGGCACTATGCCCAACAGCAAATGTTGTCCCAATCCAACAGCGGCCGCTGTTGGGCAGGCGGCCTCCTGTCTCGGATGGACACAGGCCGCGGCGGCGCGGACAGCGACTCCTGTTCAAAGTGAACAGGAACTGCTGTCGGGCATGGTACCCATTCTTTCAGTACCCATTTCGGGCGTCGTAACCGAATACATGCTGTCGTGTCCAAGCCTGCCGTCGCAACCAAGAATATCCGCACTGCATGACAATGACATCCTGACATCCTCGCGTCGCGAAAAAAAAACATCAGGTTGTTTGTTCCTGCTGTGTGTCTTTTCGGCCTCCACATCTCCCGCCGGGCCCCGGGGGACGGTCAAGCAACACCTCGGGGTGAAGGGCTGGTGTCCCGGCGAAGGGCCCAAGCCTCTGGGGATCCACGCCGTGAGACATCACGACGCGGAGTGTATGGTCGGGGAGACGTAAGACTCGGGTACGGGGGACTTTTGATTGCAAAAAAACCCTAGGATTGCAAAAAAAAACCCTAGGGTTTTTTTGCAATTCGAAGGATTGCAAAAAAACCTAGGGTTGCAAAAAATCCCTAGAGTTTTTTTGCAATCCTAGGGTTTTTTTTGCAATTCGTTTTTTTTTGCAATCCTTCGGGTTGGCCCGACGGGGCCATTATAAACATGACGAGGCCCAATCTGAAATTTGACGCGAGCTCCCGCTGCAGACATCCCACGAAAACTGGACCGTCAAAATCCAGGACGCGCTCGTCAAAAAACGTCGGCAAACCCGAGTTCCGGCTTACTCGGGTCTTGCGTTTCCCCGATATGGGGTGGACAAAGATGGATCGTAGGAGGATGGTGAGGATGAGGGGGGGCGGAGTATCAGGCGGGGGAACCGGGAGGAGAAGGAGGAGGATTTTGGGGGATTCCAGGTTGGCCTCGTGAGCTACGAGGCGCAGCGAGGTCCAGGTGCCATTAAGGAAACAGAAAGCATCCATCAGAAGCGACAGCGACATCGGCAGGAGGAGGAGGAGGAAAGGGAGGAGGAGGAGGAGGAGCAGGAGGAGGAACGGGAGGAGGAGACTGAGGAGGAGGCAGAAGAGGGGGTTGGAAGTGCAGCAGGAGGGCGATGAGGATGTCGTTTCGCCCACGGGGGACGGCTGCCACGATACAGCCGAGGCTGGCGAGGTCACCAGAAGCGCGTCAAACGCGAGTCCTAGCCAACAGTCAGACCTGTGGCTGGGCGGACCTATCCCACTGCCTGCAGAGAGAGAGAGAGAGAGAGAGTCAGGTCTGCAAAGCGCGGACCAGCGAGGCCAACGCGCCAGAGGACGGTGCGAAGAACAGCGTGGGAGGACGGATGGCTCAGCCCTGACCCGCGGAGGCTGGGGCGGACTGGCGACACTCTCCCCACCGCCCAGCCACGAGGCAAAGAGAACGAGAGCGAGAGCGACAGAGAGAGAGAGAGAGAGAAAACAAACAACACACGAGAAAGAGAGAGAGAGAGAGAGAAACATGTGTGGACGAGCCACCAGCCACACACCTGCGGGGGAGAGTCCCCCCCCAAGTCCTCACCACAGGCCCGGCTGGGGCAGATCGGAAGTGCCCGAAACCGACGCGGCAAGGCGCAAGAGGAGGACAGGAGGCGCAAGCAACACACATAAACGAGCTCCATCGGACCTTCGGGATGAGGGACGGCGAGCCGTGCCGATCGGGAGTGGGTTGCTCGGTAGTGGAGGCCTGGAGATGGGCACCACCAACACAGGGGGCTGCCTCCACAAGGGGGAAGATGATCCTACGTTTCGGTGCTGGTGGTAATGGTTCGGTCACCTTGGAAGCCAGAATATTACCACCATGACCGAGATCGGCATCGTCTTCCCTCGGTGGAGGCACACCGCCGATATTGGTGTTGGTGTCGACCTCTAGGCCTGCGACGGTAAGCCTGGCGCCAAACTCGTGTGTGGCTGAGCTCCCGTGGCCCTGCCCTCATCCCTGAGGGCATGTGCCACTCGACGGAGCACAGCCCTTTCCTCTTCCACCGCCGCAGGAGGGAGAAGGGCTCGAAGCAGAGATCCTCCTCCTCGCCGACAGCTGGCTCACCGCAAGAAGACCTTGAAGCGTTACAATCTTAAAATGTTGTCGGCAATCACCGTAACATGCTCTGCCCCACGGCGTGGGTGCTTACCGGGCAAAATGCGCTTCCACTGTTGCTGGGCCGCCATCTTGCCCAAACAGCGGCGGCGATGCAGAGTCGAGTTGAGGAGCGCGATTCCGTGGACCTTCGCGAGGAACAGTGCATGCAAAACAAGCAAATCCGAAAGATCAGAACATGGGAAAATAGCAAAATCGTGCCCATTCCCCATTACTGCCCGCAGGCCTACATTGGGGGGCAGTCCACAAGAAACCTTCCACAATAAACCCAACCCTGAGACCCCAGGACGTCCATTGATTCTTGGTGTGGGCACGTTACACTCTCCATCGCAAAACCATCAAAACCCAATGAACCCAGGGCACCCTGAAGGCGGGCAGGGTGTTTCTTGGCATGGGCCCCCACTGTAACGATATCATGCCCATTCCCCTTTACTGCCCCCAGACCCAAGCAGCGCACCGAGCCACTGCACGCGCGTAGCGGCGGCCTGGCTGGGGACGTCTGGTCTGGGGCAGCTCCCGGGTGTCTGGCAGCTCCGCAGTCAGACTCGTGCATCCCCGCGTTGGCTGCCCACGACCACTTGCCACGAGCTTTGGGATGGTCTTCAATGTCTGGCGCAGGGTGCATCCCACCTCTCCCCGACCCTTTACACCAGGAGCGCACGGCAAGAGTTTCATAGCAAGCTTGCCAAACGCAGATGAACTTCAACTTTCTCACTGATCCACACCACGGAGTCGGGGACCTGGGGATGCAGGCCCAAAACAGCTTTTGCCCCGCTGCCAGCGAGATGGTTACCTGTCCTGACAGACAGCTCGGTATCTGAAAACCCAGGCTCCTTCACAGACGGGCGAGTTCTTGTTCAGTAAATCTACGATTGTCAAAGAAAGGCAAAACTATGGCACATCGTTTTGCCAGCTTTAGCCTACACGACGCGTCCAGGAAGAACACCTTGCGAACTGATTGAACAGAACTCGAGACGATGGAAACTGATGGAAGACATTAGCACAGTCCGTAGAACTAGAATCGGGATCTGCCAAACGTATGCTCCAAACCATAGAAGCCAGACATCCCAGCCGTTTGGGGAGTCTGTCTGAGCAGTGCGTGGACAGGGCAGCGCATTCCACAATGTCTGATTTTACCATTGAACGCCAGGCAGCTTCAATCAGCTTTCCTAAGCCCTCGGATACTACAGATTTCGTAATAAAGGGAGGGGGGTCTCATTTCGGGGGGGGTCTCTTCCGGGCTATCTTGGAGGGCCTGGGGGGGTCTGGGGACGATGTTTTGGAGGGTTCTCCCACGGGGGGGTCTAAAACTTCTCGTCTGGGAGGGTTGAGACCCCCTCCCTTTTAGTACGAAATCTGGAGTAGGGTGTGCGGTGTGAGACCCATCGACGCACGTGTCACCCGCCAGCGTGCACGATCTTCAGGGGGCCCCACGAGCCAATCCCCCCCCCAGGGCCCCTTCGGACAACGGAGCAGGACACATGCCCCCCCTGATGCGGAGGGACACCCCTGGTATTATGCTGTTCCCATCGTACTCCAGATTTCGTAATAGAAGGGAGGGGGTCTGGACCCTCCAAGACAAGCCATTTCAGACCTCCCCCGTGGGAGAACCATCCAAAACATCGTCCCCAGACCCCCCCAGGCCCTCCAAGATAGCCTGGAAGAGACCCCCCCGAAATGAGATCCCCTCCCGTTTATTACGAAATCTGGAGTACTTAAAGACCACATTCCAGAAATAATCTCGAGCACCCAAAAAAATAACAACATAATATCGAACGGATATCGCCTCCCAGGGCCCGACCCGTGAAAACCCTCCAGTTTCTGTATTGTCTTGGTGCTCGAAATAATTACTGGTGATCCAGGCTACAGTAGGTTGGAACATCATAACCATGGTGCCCGAAAATAAGTTGCGATCAATGACATGCTCGTCCACAGCGTTGACCGCATCGCCCCCTGCAGTCTCGATCCGAAGCGACTCCAAAACAAGGCATCTCCAAATCCGGCGGTGCAACGCGTCCCGGCAGCCACGCCCCAATGGACGAAACTCTTAGCGCATGTATCACTTCGGCCTGGCCAAGACAACAAGTGCCCAGTGAGCCCCTGCAGCGACAGACCTCATCACCCCCTTCTCCGAAAGGAATGCTTCTCCGAACGGAGATGCTTGTGCACAATACGATGACAAGCTGGGTTGGGGGAGTGGTTATGGCCCCCGATGTGTCTCTGGAGGACCGCGTCCTTCAAGGTCGGGCCGCGACGTCCCTAGCGATTGGAGGGTCACGGATGCCGCATGCTTTCCATAGAGAACGAACGCGACAGACTCAACCATCCGCCACCCGCGACGCGACGGGGATTGTCTCCTGGCCAGCCCAAGACCCGAAACGGACCTGCAACTCTCCTGAGGGTTCCAAACAAGTTGCACCAGGAAAGGCTGGGTTCTGGTAAAGAGGAAGAGTGGACGGGTGGACCTCTACCCTCAACTTCC